AATAAAAAACTCAGCCTGCATTATTATTTTGTCAACTAGATGAGCACACAGCCAAACTAAGGCCTTGTTTCTAAGAGGAAAGCTGTTACGGTTTATATGCAGTAATTTCAAAAATAGATACTTAAGTTGGGACAAGAACTTTCCTGTAGAGGTATCTTAATTAGTTGAAGCATTTCTTACACTTCAGCTTAACTGTATAGGATGCCAGTGCAAACTCAATCCAGGCAATCACACAAGTGCAGAGTGATTTTAACAAGACTAACATTTTAATGTAGGGCAGCTTCCCTGGTAGAGACATGGCCTTGGTAACAAAGTAGTGTTTAAACCAGTGTTTTGATCTACTTCCACAATCTGAYAGGTCTGGGGATTTAAATACAGAGTGATGGGTAAAAGGTATGCTGCAAAACATAAAAATCAGCCCTTCAGCCACCAGGCCTTCCAGGGACTGCATGTTAGCTTTTCATTTCCCCGAGGGCCCAACAATAAAGGCTAAAATTGCCATGTTTCTGTCCATTCTAGTTCCCTTTTAGCGTGTACATGCGAAGCCATCAATCCCCCTCCCTTCCCACCTCCCCTCCCAATCCCCAAATTTGCAGCCCACTCATTCACAGTACACAGCAACATGTATTTCCCAGCACTGTTGAAAACTTTCCTACAGAAGCTGACATGATTCCTAAAATGCAGTGGCAACAGCAAGTGCCCTCCCCAAATGAAAGTAATAGGCACGGTTGGCTACTACAAACTGTAAGTCAGTAGCTCAGTTTTCTCTTCTGTGTAGGTATATACAGTATACTGTTGTACATCCACACCCACACAGAGACAGGGTGAAGAACCTGTTATCTGGCAGTATATAGAAGTTAGGACCAAAGCACTTAGAAAAAAAAATCACCAAGGCTTTCATTTTGAAAATTGCAGAGTTCCAACTTCAATTATTACACCCAAAATGCCATCCACAAGCATTAAGGAAAACTATAAAACCCTGTTTGAAAAATGATGCCTGCATTTGAAAGTTTTCAGGTAAGGAAACTCATTCTTGAGGTGATAAAGGCAGTCTACTCCCCATCTCCACCTTTTTATGTATATAATTTATATATACAACTGTATTATTATACATATAACTTATATAGCACAAGTATTCTCAAGACCTTTCTCTAAGGGAGGTGGAAATTCTCAGCTTTACAGCACAGATCTTACTACCTGGTAGGCCACATCCTACAGTCCTTACAGTGCTAAATCTTGCCACTGAAGCCTGTGCAGAGCTGTGGAGGAGAAAGACTGCAGGAGTCATCCCTAAACTATTAATAAAAAGAGATAGAAGTGTGACAAAAGGAAGAAGAATATCCAAGTTTGATATGGTAATGAGCATTCATTAAAGCGTAGTTTAAACGCTAATGAAAGACAGGCAAGACTTGTCAATGAATAGTTGGAGTATCTTGGGAGAAAAATATTTCCCATTTTCAAGACAGAGTTAAATAGTTATTGTCAAGCACTGTGKTTTTTTTCTCAATATGTAAATAYCTTTACAAGTGCAAATCTATCTGAAATCAGTAMAAAGTACTTTAGGAGTTTTGGGTTAGAGCATTGCCCAAGATATGAAACAATCTTACTGGATGGAAYGACAGAATGTGCCAAGTCCTGAATGAAATCAAGAGTAAAAGCCCTTGATCCACTGAGTGCTAGCCTAGTAACATTAAATTACTTACCTTTTTTTTTTTTAATTTAAAGATTTTGACATACATTAAGAGAAGAGGAAGGGAAACACTTAAGAAAGTTGGATTTCATCAGCTTTGTCAAAAGTACCAATTACCACCTCTTTTGTAAACAAAGTGTCAAATAGGAGGAGCAACCTTTACTTTATAGATACAAACCCCGGATTGTTGATGGTCAGATAAAATAGAGGGAGAAAGCCTGATTCTGTAGACATCAGAAAGGTTACAGCTAAGATATCATCACTGCAATGATCACTTTGATCAACTCCATTTTAGCTATACACCTCAGCGATTAGCTAATTTTTTATGCCTGGAGTTAAAACCATTCCAAAAGCAAGAATCTGAGGGATCCTCTTGCATTCAGATTTTTCTTACCCATCTGTGTTTGGTCAGTCCTTCCAATGCTTTATGTGACTATGTGCYACCCTCCAAAAAACAGCAGTTCCAAAAAGTCTGAGGAAAGTAAGAATGAATGAAAAAAAAATTCACCTTTGTAGAAATATGTCAGCTTAGATTTCAGGTCCTGGAAACCATTACTGAGACATCAAATGGATCTTTCAGGCTAACAAACTTGTTTCCRTAACATCTGGCTGCAGGTAACACATCTCAAGGTATGATATTGCTTCAAACRATAAGGTTTGCTAAGGGTTTGGGGTTTTTTTAAGATTTCTTCCTTTCTAGGTCTCCCTCTTGAAGAAAACTTAAAAATTTAAGGATGCAACTGTCAAAATTCAAGAAAAAACTWACAGGCCTGCCACACAGTCTGTTCCATCAGCACAGACTATGAAGAAATAGAACCAGTACACATTTAATGAGTGAGAGCTGTGAAAGGAATCATAGAAACACAAAAAATAGTATTGGAAGGTACTTCCGGAGGTCACTTAATCCAACATTCAACCCTTTGCTTAAAGAAAGATTAGTTAGATCACACAGCTCAGAATCTAGAATTTCACATCAGTTGCCAGCTTAGCCAGGTAATGTAATTGTCTAGACTGAGTACTAGGTACTGAAAAAGAGCTCAGAGATAATAAAAAATACTCTGGATTCTGCATTCCACTTTTCTGTTAGACCAATCTTTATAAAATAGATATGGTATTTTATGTTGCTCTTTATCTCCTAAGGGGAAAACCAAACTGAACAAAGATGCACTGAAGTGTTGTTTTAATATAAAAAGTGACTAAAATACAACATCATRTGTCTTTATATTTGATATAATACAAATGAAACAATAAATTTTTAGTTTAAAGTAAACCATCAATGATCATGTTGAGAAAAACAGAATTTTACTTGCCAGGCCTCAAGCCAGCAGTATAGGAGTATACTTCTATAAGCATATTTGTATGCAAAGATTCAGCAAATTTGATTAGAAAACTACTTAYACTGGTGCTTCCTGAATTATTTTTATTAGTCAGTTTTCAAAATAGAATCTTGTCTTCAAGTGTAAGTTGTCTCAATTAGATAATCAAAAAATCCAGAATAAATAAATTATATCAACACTGTAACATACAAAGCACATCTTGATCTGGAATATTCTGTCCTGGTCTCCCTATTTTAAGAAAATGATTGACATATTGGAGGAAGTCTAGCAGAGAGTCACCATGCAGGTTGTGGAACACACGATGGATGAAGAGAGGCTCAGAGACATGATTCTGCCTTAAGAAGAGAAGGGTAAGTGTAGATCTTATTGCTATCTCCAAATACCTAACCAAGACTGTAGAGAAGCCAGACTGTTCTTGGAGGTGCACAGTGGAAGAGGCACTGAAAACAGCTTCGAATATGGAAAATTCCCACTTGACACACAGATCTCTTTTTTTTTTTTTTTACTATAGAAGTGATTAAATACTGAACAGCTTGCACAGAGAGGTTGCAGAATTTCCATTCTTGGGGATTTAAAACACAGCTGGATATGGCCATGAGCAACCAGCTCTAGTTGGAGGTTGACTAAGACAGTGTCTGGAGGCCCCTTTCCACATGCAYGATTCTATGATTGAATGCTCTGCTCCAAAGTATTATTTAGCTAATCACAAAAACACACATTTGTTTTAGTTGCTTCCTCTGTATCCACTATTTTGTGAGACTTTTAGTTCAATTTGTTTTCATCCTATAGTTCCACAGCCTTGGAAACCTCTATTGGACTTTCTTATAATGGCTTCTGTTTTGCAGATAGGTATAAATCTAGCATTGAATGACACAAGGTAAAGCTTCTCCTTTCTAAAATCTAGCATTGAATGACACAAGGTAAAGCTTCTCCTTTCTACAGCTGGATAACTCAGTCCTCAACTGTCATCAAATCATTTGTTTATGAGTTTGCTCTCACAAAACCTTATACAGAGCCTTTCCTCTTTAGTCTGATTCTACTAATAATTTACAGAGAGAGGACAAGTGTACAACTTCAGCAAGGAGACATGGGCCCAAAAAGGAACTAACTATAACAGACCACATAAGTTTGAAGTGTACAGYTTAAAATATCTGCAAAGAAACAAAATTTGTCATTGTAAAAAAAMCAGTCTTGGAATGTGTCACTAATTATGTCTTTCCAAAATGGAGACTCCTTCTATAAAACACCAAAGCTACAATTCAAGATTTTAGTAATGACTAAGACATTTGCATATGAGCACCCAAAAACTGAAGTCAAGAGATTGACTGAGTACACCATATATACAGGTGAAAAAATATCTCCCTTTTTAAACATAAGAGGTGGTTCCAAAGCTCAGATTTTGGCTTCAGAGTTCAAGGCCCACTACAAAGCCTGAGAAATTTGAAATCTGCCTTTTACCTCCCTTCTTTTTATGTTTTTTAGGCTATTTGGATCTGTGATTTAGATATAGGCCTGCCTTTAGAACAAAGTAAACATGTATTTCAGCATTTTTTTTCCATTAGGACCCTTGTTCTGGCATATTTAAATAAGATGCCAACAAGACCATAAATGAMAACTGGAGTCTAGTATAGACTTAATAATTAAGGTTTGTAGACTACTGATAACACATCTAAAGGCAGGTGTGTTCAGAGGACAAAGGAGGATATTTATGCAGGTTCACAGCCAATTAACAGCGCAGTGGAGAATTCGAGAGTATAAACTGTAGGACACTAAGAAAGGAAATTCTAGGATTTTCTTATACTTTTTCTAATCTAATGCACTCACTGGATGCTCTACAGTTTCTCACAGCTGAGGTTTCTGCTCCCATTAGACATCTTCCTGAGGGGCAGCAGAGGAGCAGCACCAATCTCTGCTCTCTGCTGACCAGTGACAGGATCCAAGGGAATGGGATGGAGCTGTGTCAGGGGAGGTTCATGCTGGACATTRGGATAAAATTCTTCACCCAGAGGGTGTTTGGGCACTGGAACAGGCTTGCCAGGGAAGTGGTCAGAGCCCCAAGCCCCCAAGCCCCCAAGCTTGTCCGTCTGGACAATGCTCTCAGGCACATGGTGGGATTCCTGGGGTGTCCTGGGCCAGAAGCTGGACTTGATGATCCTTGTGGGTCCCTTCCAATTCAGGATACTCTGTGATTCTGTGATCTGGCAGGATGCTCTATATATTCCAACACAAATCGGATTCTAGGGCTCTCAGTCCCAGTGGAACAGCTGGGTGGAATGGCCATAAAAAGTATGCAAATACAGAAGTAGAGAAATATGAGATTGTCAACAAGCACTGCTCTGCAATTTTTAAATGTATACATATATATATATAAGGATATATATATACACATATAGAGTATAGTTAGTTTTAAATCTTTGGAATAAATTCAATTTTTGTTCTCTCTTTCTGACTTTCGTTCACTCTCTCTCATGCTCTAATCACGAATATTACATCATTGTCCCTAAAAGATGGTTAGATTTTGGTCCATATTTCATGTCATATGGGCCAGACATCGTATCTCCCCCCGTCCCCAAAGTGTTCAGTTGACAGTCACAGTGTTTTGTGAAAACTGTGAGGAAAACCAGCATCTTTTGAAYAAATTCAATGTCTCACTGGAACCAAAGGCTGCAAAATGCTGAGAATTCAAGTGCCAAGGATCCCGGTGACAGCTCTTAAACATCTATTGAGTTTCTTGTTTGCTCCTTTTCCCCCTTAAGAGTCCAATTTTACCTCCCAAAACATAAATTAAGGGAAATATTTAACAGTCAATGAGTCAAAACAGTCAAAGAAGGGCAGTTGGTTAATACATTATAAAAGAGCAGCAACCATCTGTGGATCATGCGCTATTTTGTCGCATTTCTAGACACCTCTTGTAAGGATGGTCCCACAATATACAAAATATACAACCTAATGATCACCTGCCTGCTTGCATAGGCCGTTTTTATGGTCCTAAATGCAGTCTTTGGAGTCAGGGCCAGTGCCAAATATGTTCAAACACAAGTTATGACAATACATTTTTTAGGGATTTTTTTCYTTCTGTAATGAAGACTTTAATCCACTTTGAGGCAAAGAAATAAAATTATCAATAGGATGGAAGGATTAGSATGAGACCTTCACTTTTCCTTGATGATTCACACCGTAGGCCAAAAAGGACCTCTAGCTTAGTAATACTTTAGACCAATCATYTGGAAATGCCTCACTGCTGTATGTAAAATCCCTTCCATCACCGCTCACATGGTTACATTTTTTCATATAGGAGTGGGCTACAGCATMATCTTGATGAATGGAAAAGCAGGACTTTGATAATTTCTTTAATGGGCTAATGCTGAATGAAGCCATTGTACTTGGAAGAGGTTCTTGATTTCCTACTCAGAGATTGGAATAGGATTTTTGGCTTGGGGTTTTTTTTGTGTGTAAGATGCTCAACAAACATTATGTTTAAATGAAAACGTCTGCAGGTGCTCTTTACACAAGAGAAGTCAAATGTTTTAAATTGATTAATAGAAGAACTGCAAGAAAAAGYAACATAATTCACCACTAAATCACCGTGGGTTGTGGCTAACATGCTCACATGATGTAGAAGGAATCCTGTAGTCATGCCTGTGTGGCCAGTCCCAGACTGATATCCAGGTGAAGACAAGGAGTTCTGAAGATCACTTGTTTGTGGAGAAAAGAGAAAAAAGGTTTAAGCTTCCAAACAAGCTTTTAACGTTTTTTGTTCAAAAAATAAACAAGAAGTCCTAGCTATGGCAATAAGGTGAGGCTTACAGAGATATTAGGTGCTGTATCTCAGGGSTTTATCCCTTGGCTACTTAGCCATCGTGGCAGCAGCTTCCAGAGTCCCTAGTGCATATCTTGTGCAATAGCCAAAAAAAAAAATAAATAAAAACAACCAACAAAAATATAATCCTCTGTGGAGTCTACATAAACTCAGGTCAAAAAGAGGATATTTGTGTCACAAGTGTCACTCCACAATCTACTGCCATTAAGGCCACTGGTACTGACTTAAAAGGATCTCAGTAGCTCAGTTCTAGGAATAAGAACCAAAACTAAGACAGATCAAAGTGTCTGTGAGAAGTCTGATGCACTGAACATTAGGAATTCYCAGACAAAGAACAAAGAAACAAGAGGTTAATTTTGGCTACCAAACTGGGATTTGGTTTTCTAGGTCATTGTKTTCCCCCCACCTATTTAAAAAGAAAGTTAGTGCTACAAATATGCAACTTCAAGACGTCATATTCTTCTACTGAGTTGCRCTGAGAAGCAAGTTAGATAAGCCCCTCCTATTGCCGTCCACCTGCAGGGAAGCCTCCTCCGTTTTCTTTGATTTCCATTGGCAAAAACAGGAAACAAATCCAAGAGGGATGAAGTACTGTAAGCMATTGTTCTTTTTCACTGATTTCACCTCTATACCATTTCCTCGCCTGCATCTTCTCCCATCCAGCTGGGGCAAGGCATAAAAGAACYGACGTATGTATTGAAGTGTAACCGGGTGCATGACAGCGTGAGCATGTGGTCCCTGTACACAGGATTACATGGGATCAAGTTCTCTTCTCCTGTAAGGTAGCACGTTGTAACTTGAGTTCCACTTCCATCTCACAACACTTAGCCCAGATGACATCCATGCCAAGCTGACTGACAKTTAGATGTGTCTCTTCATGTGGAGGGCGAGGTGATCCGACCTGGAGAAACACCTGCAACATAAAGCAGGAAATGAAATAAGTATATGATTTGGGAAAACACGGTTTCTGCTCCTTCCTTGTTATGTACAGGAGAAAAATATATATCCAAGTTTAGAGGCATTTCTTGGGTTATCCATGGATTACCACCAAACCCGATGTGATTGACCTCTGTGACCACTGTCCTGGTTCTTTGGCAGCTAGACTGCTTTTCTCCTTTCCCTGTTCCTCTCCTTTCYGCTTCTTTCACTGAGTCAAACWTGAGRAAAGAGTGCTCRTCTAYGTACCTGCACTATAAAACCAAATAYTTAGTATGTGTWTGTTTGCACATARAATAATTAWATCASTTTTATTCAAGTACTCAACAACATCATTTTTCAAAGTACCAGCTTTCTGAAGTGCCCACTACCTGCAACAAGCACTGAAGAATGATGCTAGTTTTGAAAGCTGAATTCTCATTTCTAGCTCCAAACTAGAAGGAAAACTGGTCCAGAGTTTGGACAGTGACAATCCATCAGGCTTCACATCTCTCTCTTCCTCTCKGCTGGAAATACGGGTGGTAATATGTGGATTCTGATGAACATTAATCCTCTGAAGGATGTTGACAAAAGATATTATGCCTATTTTGTAAGAGTKACAATTGAAAGACAGAGAAGGCAAGGTAGCTGTAAATCACACAGGCTGTGGTAAAACTAGGGGAAAAAAAAAAAAAAGAAAGCCAGAACTTGAACTTTCAACTTCCATTCTTTATGCACAAAGAGATTTTTTTTCCATCTCATAAGAAGACATTGTTTTGTCATTCTGAACATGTAGTTGGATCCTGATGAAATAGAGTGGCAACCCTAGAGAACTAGCTGAGTTTTAGGGCTCGCCTAAACATGTAGTTAATGAATAAGGCAGAACATAAATCTGAAATGAAGCATCTATCCTTCATTAACTACCTTGCTAAAGGTTTATGACTGTCTTTTGAAATCCACTGCCTTCTACTTAATCCACTCAGGAGGTGGGTTAAGATACTCAGGGAAAAAAAAAAAAAAAAAAAAAAAAAAAAAAAAAAAAAAAAAAAAAAAACCAAAACCACCCACTCAGAAACTCAGAAACAATCCAGGGGGAAAGGAACCTCCCAAAGAGTTAATCAGAAATTCATATTCTAGAAGAGCTGCCTTGTAGTACACAAGCTGCAGGGCACCCAGCAGCAGAAACAGTAGCCCAAATTCAGGATTTTCACAGCACCAAGATATTGTCAGAGTGATCAGGGGAATAAGTTCTCAAGAGCAAAAAGTGCTTGTCTTACCTTACCATTCAATACATGCTTTATTCTATCGAGACTGCCTGTAAGCAAACATACTTTTTTGACTCCACATCCATTAGATATGGGATTAAAAGTGCCAATTAATTTCACATCCTCCATCACAGTGTCATTTAAGATACGTATGGCACTGGAAAGCAAGCCACAGGACAAGCAGGTTGCCTACCCCACAGCCCTAAAATGGAGCCTGTCTCTCACAGTGCAGGACTCATACTCAGAAATTAAACTTCTACTAGAAACTKCAGCTCAGCATTACAAACCAGGAGGTTTTCAAGTTCCCTGAAAATCCTGCYTTGCCTTCTTTCCAACTTAAGCCACAAGACACTGGCTTATTTATTTTAAAAACACTTGCTACAAATAGCATACCAATCCCCACATACCTGTGGCTTTTGAGTAAACTGGTTTTGTAGGCTCCAAGAGCATCAGAACTGAGATGCCTGGTGCATCTTTTCAGTGTTCTGCAGAATCAGAGTGTAAAGCAGCCACCAAAAATGGTCTGGAGAATACCCTTGTGCGAATCAAGATAGCTCATACATGGGCACTGAGTGTATTTKTTAAAAAGCAGTACTTGAGTATTTTGTACTTTTCAGAAAGAAGCAGAAGAACAAACCACCCAGAAAAAAAAGCCAATACTGATAGATTAAAAAAAAGAGGGTCAATCTAAAGGCAAATACCCAAAGAATAAACACCCTAAGCAGAGAAAGGCTGAAAAAGAGAAGTGTTGTGGTAGATGAGATCACCCCGAAGAATGCTGGAGGGCTAGACAGCCCTGGGACAGCTGGAACTCGGTGGTGGAAAGATCTTGATAATCCCCTTGGGAATTAGATGGTTCCTCCCAAGAATATGTAAATCCTGCTTCCTTGGTTGGACTTAACCTGATCCCTCACTCCACCCACCCCTTCCTCCATTGGTCATTGTATTCCCTTTGCCTTCTCTCTCCACCCAGTTGCCCAGGTAACTGGCCCCCAGGGGTATATCTGTGGCCAGATAATCCCATCCCATCTTCTTTCGCCTCTGGTGTCCTTTGGGAATAAAACCCTGGAATAAGCTATGCGATCGAGCCTCCTGCTATGGACTACTAGTCCACTGGGGTGTGTGTGTCTGCTCTTCATGCACCTGGGTGTTGGTAAATCCTCCTGCACGGCACCAAAGCAGTGCCAACCAAGGTGATCTCCACAGCCAGGAGACATTGTGGTACACGCAGAGGGATCAGACCACACTGAACACCGCCCAGATCACGTTAGAGAAGAACTATAAAAACAAAGCTCTTCTAAATAGTTTTAGTCTAAATTCTTTTCTGTCCTACTGGATTATTCCACTGCCCATGTAATCAATCTGCATCTACACACAGASATGAGTGATCAAGAGATACATTTTTAAGACAAAGAAACTTTAAAACAAGGCAACTTCCAYAAGAAGAGTCATACACTCATCTTCTGTGAATGAGCACAGCTCTGCTCAAGKCAGCTCTTCTCTGCTTGCAGGGCTTACAAGGGAATTAATACCTTCAGAATGGCAAAAATGAAAGACTTCAAAACAGGATGGAGGCTGCATTCCTCCAAGATCCTACATGAGGCACGGCAAGACAGATATGAATGTGACAATGGACCCCGTGCTTTCAACACAGCAGGCTCTGCACAGCTAGAATTTTCTAGCCCTAGGGTGCCAAAATACACCCTTGGACCAACATCTCTCTCATCAGTCCAAAGTGAGAAAGCAGCATGCTCTGGCTACRAGGGCTGCCAAAACAAAACAACAGCTTGAGTGGCTGCCAAAAAGACATGCACCAGCTGGCACTTCAGTCTAGGACTAGTCATAAGGCCACTACCCAAGCACAGCTTTTCCTCTCCAATTGTCTCTTTTATAGATGCAACCCAGGAAAATGTATGTTGAGTCACACCATAGCAAGGTCTGTTAAAAATATGGGTTCAATACATTGTTKCACATCAATAACCCCCATATTAGCATCTATAATATTTTATGGCTAATAAAATGGTGCCATATTTGCTAGTTTATAGCTAATAAAAWGGTACAATACTAATTCTTCATATTCTCCTGCTGATTAATTTGGTTAGTTCTATCTRTTGGTAAGGCTGGTGGATGTGAATTTATTTTCAACAGTAAAACAGTCCATACAAAATTTTTGCAGCTAAATCATACTGTCAAAAAGGCTATCGACTGCTGGACACACTTTTTTTTTTTTCTTTCTGGGACTACAGGCAGCAGTGGAAGAGGCTCCACAGAAAAAGMTATCAAAGGAAACAGTTCTCTTCAAAAAATTAAGAAACAAGAGCTTGCTGGTCTCTGGTCCTGCCTATGATACAAGACTTTGCTCTGCACTTCTGGCTTTACACCTCTTTCCGTTCCAGGCCAGCTCTGCACATCATATGTGGGCCCATCACAGCCTTCTCCATCATCCCTTCCCCACTCTAGCTCTTCCTAGAAAGGACAGTTTACGCTACAATAAGACACTCTAATTATAAAAGTCATAGTGATGTGTGATACACAAATTCCCTACTCCCAAATGTGATTCCTTCCTTTCTCTTTTTGCTATATCTCCTTAGCAACACAATACTGCTTGGCACTGAAGGCTCTGAAGGAGAAAAAGGGAAGGTAAGTACAATRAGAGAGAATATATTGCTCAGCCATCTTGCTTATCAGCTGTGGATTTTCCACCGTGGGACATGTTCATTCCAGCTAAGTGCACTTTTAGCTTGCTATCAACAAGGAAACTGTGTGCACATGTGCACACACACAGAGGAATAAGCACCCCAACAGTCTGGCTGTTGCTGTCTCCTAAACACGTATTTATGTAGAACAAGCAAGTGCCACTACCCTGTCAAACTCTTCCCTTTGAAGTGCTGAGGACTTGCACTTGGGAGGAATAGCCCAAGCCTGTGCTTCTGAAGAGCAGAATTCCTGGGGAATGCTAATAAYCAGCATAACCCTGGCATCTGGAAGGCACTAAGGACTTTCCTGTGGTGCTTTCCACACCACTTTAGCTGACTGTACTTTCTCTTCTGCTGCCACAAAGCCACACACCATCTGCAGTACATATGATATTACTCAAACCAGTGGTAGTTTGCCAGCTATGACTAACAGTGTGATCTGTAGGCTGCATGGTGTTGGGATAGAGCTGGGAAAGCAAGAGATGAGAATCACATCTTCTTGTCTCTTTTGTTATAAAATTGACTTGTACACAGGGGACATTAATACTCCTTTGACATTGGTCAGAAGGTAAGAGACACAAGTACATCTAAAAACAGCCTTGGAAGGGACCTGCAGCCAGACTGTGTGAACAACATTCCCCTCTCCTATCTGAATCATCCCTTCCATGCTCTGTTTACCAAGAGACAGCCTTCAGCTCTGATCAACAACAGGCATAGGATTTGTGCTACACCAGTGTCAAAATAGCTCCAATCAGCTCCTCAAAATCTAACAAGCCAGCATGTCTGAGAAAGWGACCACAGCTCCTGTCAATAATGGTGGGTGCAATAAAGGGCAGCTCCTATCTTCAAAGTCCAGATACAGAGAAACTGTTTTCCAGCTGGAACCCTGGCTCAGGAAGGCACATCTTTAAAAGTCTGCCTAAATWGCTAAAGGCAGTTTTAGGCTCATGTTTCAGTGCTTGCTCGAGGTGACCTCTGCAATAAGTGGTAGCAGAGAAAAGAAYGAAAAAACAGTGGTATGGCAGAGTGGGGCAAAAGACCTGGCACTCTAAAAGCTTGYATCAATTAACTGGGGGAATAAGGACAAATCTGCCTCCTATCACCACACACGGATGGTATGGGCATAGAGTTTAACAGAACACAATTCCCAGCACYCTTAACTTTATTAATAATGTTTTTCCTTCATCTACAGATTCAGTAGAAGAGCAGAAATTGCATTAGATTATCACAGGAATATATATTTTGACTGTAATGACTGAGTTTGCTGCCAAAGAGAAAAGCCAGGTAGGAAGGGATCACATGTAGAGGGAGAATAATGAACACTTAACAAAGGACTGAAAGAGACGGAGGAGTTGAAAATATTTGCTCTATTGCTTTAGATCTCTGCTAAAAATATTGTTTGTTCTGACACAGAAATCCTGGGGCTGTGTGAATATCAGTGTGTGTTTGTGGGGTCACTCGGAGGAAAGAAAAGAGAAAGGCAATCCTTTACATTTAGAACAGAGAACATAATTGTTCTCATTCACAGAAGTGCTTAAACAAAAGCAGAGCTGCAGAGGTCTCYACTTGGTTTATCCTGTCCCTCATTCTGGGCAAACAAAAGATAATCCAGGGATAAAACAAAAGATAATCCAAGAGGAAGTCTTCCATGGAGGAAGGGGGACAGGAAGAGGGGAGACAAGGGCAGAAGAGCACTTAAGGAGATGAAGCTCTTGGAAAGGCAGGATGTGAAAATGATCAAATTTCCTTCCCATAAAAGGATGGGGTCCCTTGTTTATGTCCCACACATCCTCTCTCCACACRTATTCTCTGTTGGTCTGGTGTACCCAGAGGCTTCCTAGAGCCTTTATTGTATTACAAAACGTTTCCTTATCACAGTGAGAACCTTAGTGCTGCATTAAAAAGATGGGTAATTTTCTTAAGCCTCTTTTAAAAATATATATAAATAGGATTAGCTGGATAACATGTTCAGATGCAAGCACATTATTTGATTACTCAGTAGTGGATCCAGGTTTCACCCAGGGCATTGCCAGTCTTCAGCTGGGGGGGTGAATGGGGGAGAAGTGCTCATTGTTCGATCCTGTCAGTGCTGTCAAGAGTCATTACAGGGGTAATTGCTTTTGCTCCACCCTGATTTCTTATCAATTGGCTTTGGGGATGTGGAGAAGGGTGTTCTCTTAGAAGGGTGTTCTCTTGGTTTTGTTTCTAAATTCAATAAACCCAGCTTTCAAAAACGCTCAGCACCAAGCAAGGGTGAGCAGATTTTTCAGAGAAGCTCAGTATTTATTGAAGCAGCTCCAGCACTGAGCGAGGACTGTAAAACAATCGCAGGACTCCCGGAGAGCTGCTGGGTGCTCAGCCTGCCCCTCATTTCTGAGTGCCCAGAGCGCTGCTGTGGCACAGGCTGCTCAGGAACCTCGGCTCTGCGCACCTCTCAGGCTTCTAAATCTGGGACCTCACGGAATGAAGGTGCGGACTATTTCCCACTTCAAGGGTGAGACTTAAAACTGTAGGAAAAGATTCGCTAATTAGCAGGAATGTGCAGAGATCACTTACTTGAACTTGAACTGCAAGGTATGACTAAATCACTCTKGGGCTTTTGAAAATGGTACCCTTTGTTGTCTTTTCTTTATGCTCTCCTACTGCATCCTGGGAAACCCGGGGCCCTGGACTCAGTGGTAAAAGAAGACAACRATCACACAGAAATTAAATGCTTTTTTCCTAGAGRTTTCCWTGGCACCTGAAGTGCAACAGCCACACAYACTCCCCATCCCTCCTGCCATACACCCGTGTTTTTGAGAGGTCCAYCGTGCCAAAGTGTGGGTAGCCAGCAGTGGCGCTTGGGGTAGTCCTTGAAGTAGAGAAAATAGAAGGAGCTCTGCCTTTGTGAGCATAGCAGGCTTACAGGATCAGGAAACAGAAAGCTGGGGAGATGCTTTCTTGAGAGAACCATCACTGAAATGATCTAAGGTCCTCTGGATGTATTCTCTACTTTAAGAGTATTAACAAGAGCTGCCCTATGAACTGAATCCTATGCCCACAACAGACACCAGCAGGGTTCAGTCAGACCTACACCTGCTCCCACATCTTTCTCTGTGCTGTGGGATGGAAACAGCTTAGACTACTTAGGAAACATTSCCCATCTGCCAGCCTGCCTGGCCAYTGAGGCASAGAGGACAGGAGCAGAGCAGAGGGTCCCTCCATGGTCCAGGGATCAAAGCAGAGRGACAGAAGGGGCCACAAGGCCAGGTCTCTTGTCTGTGGGAACTGGCGGCTCCATGCCAGTCACAAAAGTCCACATTTCTTGAACACCATGTTAGGAGCTGCATTACCTGTCACAATGGTTGCATTTAAAGGGCTTTGCACCCGTGTGCTTTCTGTAATGCCTCGTGAGCTCGTCACTCCGTGCAAAACGCCACTCGCACCCTTCCCACGAGCACTTGTAAGGCTTCTCACCTGCAGAAGGGAGGAGAGAACAGTCAGCGTGGCAGCAGCATTACTGAGCACTCAACTTGAAAGCCCTGTGTCCTCCCACCCTGCCTCTAACCYGTTCGAGAAGGTTAGCCCATCACAYAATTCAYGGTCASTGTGSGATGGAAACAACTTTGGKCACYGAGGATAGYTCCAGTCCAGATTTTACCACTGCTAAAATTCTTGCACAACCTTATCTCCTGTTTCTAACCAAACCAGCCAACTGGCCTTTGAAGAAGCCCTAAGTATGGCCTCAAAATGCCTATGCAGCTGTGTGGCTGAAGCTTGATTTTCAAACAGCTTTTCAGCTCACTCTAACCTTGCCAGATGCATTACTGTGTACCTGAGTGACTGTACTAACATCTGAACATTGTTCAGGTGTGCACCACTCCAGAGTGACCACCAGCACTGCACCACATGCCTTACCCCRATTCTATTTACCCTTTGTATGGCCAGACTCACATCTGCTCCCCTCAAGCATTCATGCCAGCTGCCCCCAAGGACTGCACCTTTTTGACTTGCTTCTGACAACAAAACCTACACCTTAGATCAAGAAATTATGTGTCAGGGCATCAAGTGTGAGAGGATAAATTTTTAATTCTTTGAATCAGCTGGCTCTGTCTCAAAATATTAACAACACCACTTAAGGCAGGGAAATGGTGTAGGAGAGACAGGAGCAATATTAGTCTGCTGGTAGGAGTTGGACKCAATGATTCTTGTGGGTCCCTTCCAACTCAGGATATTCTATGGTTCTATGTTCATATCTAACAATCTTCTCATGCACATCAGTCTCTGCAGATCAAAAYCTGCCAAGGTGTAACATCTGTGGAGTCATTGACACCTTCTGATGAAGAATTCCGAGGTCTCATGACTCCCTTCTCCTTATTCAGTGCACATGCTTCAGTGTGCATTCAAATTTAACATCTCACTCCCAYAACAAATGCTCCAATGCATCCAATGCTCCATCCCCCTATATAAACTCCATGTCATTCTTCCCCATGCAGTCAYGTGAGATAAAATACAGACAAGAAATCACTTCCACCACCAAGCTTTTAAGTGGATTGTTACTTATTTATTTKTTCTTTAAATTGCTAAGAAGGGAATCTTAAAAAACCCACCACGGGCCATACTGAGGTTGCAGTCTGTATGACCCCTCTAGGCCAATGACACAAAATAATCACTTCACCACAGCAGAAGGTGCAGAGACACATATTGCTATATCAGTGCGTCTGTTCAGCRAGTAGAAGAGTAAGATCTGGGGACTAAGATTATAGGAGACCTAATGATGATGAACTGGAGAGGACAAAAGAGCAAGAAAAGTGAAAAGGGAAAGAGAATCGCAGCATGAATGAATGAAAATGCATGAAAAAATGCCATTCTCCAGTGAATGAGTTTCTGCAGACATTTTGTTGCACAGGCAGCTGTGCTGCAGAGTGGTCATCTGCCCCAGACACAATAGCAGGATGGGCTGAGACTTTAACTGCAGTTGATCCATTTTATTGGCCTCTGAGAGGTTTCTCTGGCTCAGGAGTTCAATTAAAGGATTCACTGGGATGAAGGTGTGAAGAGRGGGCAGCAGCTGGCAAGACTACATYRAAATATCCATTTATCCCACAGTCCCTGAATGAAGAAAGGCCAGCCTGGATRCCCCTGCTGTGAGTCACAGTCCCTCATGGAAAAATGTCCAAAAGAAAATGGACTGAGCCAACAATAATACTACCCACTTAGAATGTGCTTGCTTGGTCATCTCTGGTAACCTCTTGGTTTTTTTATTCTTTGAATAGGATTTCTTCAGCAGAAAAAAAAGTCAGAAACATCTTGTTAGTGAGCAAGGTGYTGGTGTCTTGTTTCTGGGCTGGTTCCTCAACTGTAGCTCATACACTGTCACCAGTGCTGGCCCTAAGCACTAGAGCTGCAGTTGCAGCACTTTCCCACCGAGCCCTCTGCACCCTATCTGGCAAACTGCCTCTGCTCTCCTCAGAGAAAAAGGATTTCTGGTCCTGTGCCAGGAACGGTCCTGTGCCTACAATGGCGCACCTGTTTTCTCTGAACAGAGAAACGATTTATTTTTAAAATTGTCAATAAACAAGCCTGGATTATAATGCAGTTCCTTGGTTCTCTGACGCTCTCTAGTGCCTACTTTTAGAGTGGAGCCAGCAAGGCAGAGAAGCTGCCTTGCAGCATGTTTGACACATGCTTCAAAGCAAATGCAGAAAACTACTGCTCAGCCAAATCTGGCAGGTACAGCCAGTCTGAAGGACACAGTCATCTACAGAACAGAAGGGTGAAGGAAAAGCATCCCAGGCTTTCTGTGAAACTATATAGGCTATTAGGATTGAAGTGGAGTTTGKCTTGTTAAAATTTGCTAAGAGCTTTGAAAATATACACTGCTATATATAGGTTATGAGAGACAAAAACACCAAGTACAATTACTAGTAAACCCACAGACTGCCACATTTCTCTTGTTACTTGCTGGAGGGGCTCYTCTCCCAAGTGTTCCAGCTCTGGCCCTGCACAGCCCTGAGCTGAGTTTTGCTTTCAAAYGCTTTCAGATGCTTCTTCCTTTGTAAGCCAAGCCCTGTTCCACAAAATGTCAGACAGTAGCTCTTAGTGCTCCAGACTGCATGCTGGCATACTGTGGTCCCAGTGGCACAAAGTAAATGCAAAGGGGCACAGTGACCTTTAAAGCCATGTCAGACAGCTCCCTGACCCAGAGAACTCAAAGAGGTTAGACTTCCTGCCCTCCTGCAGCTGCTCAAAAACACAGGAGGGAAGGAGGAGAGAGACCTGCCTGTCTCTGCATGTGAAGACTAGGAACAAACTGCTCCTTTAACAGATGCTTTTACCTTACAAGAAGAWGAAATGGAATGGATCTTACCAAGGTGCACCTAGGTAGAAACTGAGGGTCCTCCTACCTCACTACTGGCAATAGCAGGGAGAAGAAATGGGAAGGATCCTTTCCATGTGTTAGGCTGCTCTTCTCTTGGTCAGAGATTAGAGAGAATAAAAAGATAAATGATGAAATCCTCCTCTGCTGAAGGCAATGGCAAAACTCCTACTCACTTCTACAGGGCCAGGATCTCCCTCTTTTTAAGAAATTAATTATGAGTTTCAAAATCCACTTAAAAATAGGAATATCATGGAGCTATGCCACAATGAACTTTTTCTAATTTCTCAAATTAAAAACCACTCTTAAAACTTGTGCCTGCAAGCCACTCCCAGAAAGAAGGCTCTACTCCTTAAGTCATCTCCATTCAACACAAGGATCTGTGCAGTCCTTAAACAAATCCATAAATGCACATTTATTCAAAGGCACTCAATGGAGGAGCCAGTCTTCATCAAAAAAAGAAGCTAATACCTAGATATGCAGCTGTTAAATGCTCAGCTCTTTCAGTTCAGAACTTACTCCACACCATGGGGGCTGGTTCAGATTCCACACATCCATAAACGCACCTGGGAAGGGCGAGCAGCCAGCAGTGCAGACATAATCAAGCAGTGAATTATGCAATTTTCCTAGATGAGCACTAGTGTTAAAAAAAAAAGTATCATTTGCTTATGGAAAATTTATAACCAACCCAGAATTCTGACTCTCAGCTGTTTCTACTTTTCCTTCTGGAATCACAGACACTGCCTAGTGATTTCAAGCTTACTGACTTGTAGTTTCCGTGGGCAGCATGCACATCAGAGAGCAATGCAGCACAGTGAAGGACAGCTGCAGAGTGACACCGTGGATACACAGGACCCAACATCCCCACTGTGTGCATTTGAAGGGTGTTATTTCTGGCTGGCCATAACCTTGTCCTATGGCTGGAGCTGGGCCATAGGTGAAGCATGCCAGCTGTGCACTGGACAGCCCATCCAAAACCACATCTGCACTCTGGCCAGGCTGAACCAAAGCACAGTGAATGGGGACAACCAAAGCCTCATTTCCAAAGAGGTCACTTGTTCACCAGAAAAAGCTCACATCAGACACATTCTGAGCTGCCTGGTGAGGACCCTGGAGAAGCAGCCTGCACACGCCTGCTTGTTCACAGAGCTGTGTGCTAAAACCTACTGGTCTAGAAGRGCTGTATCATCGAAACAGTGCTACAGAAATGCTATTAGCCCTTCCAATATATTTTAGGATTCCAGTCCATCATGTTGGCACACTTCTGTGAAGCAGCCTCTCTTCACTCTGATTACGTCATGTGGTCCAAACCTCCTTTTAACTTTTTCRTGTTCCTGGGGCACATTTTATACCCTGAGACTGGAATGCCTGGGGTGTAGGCTCTCTGTTCCACTTCTGTTTATGGCACCTCACACAACTGAGCGCTTCTTCTAAAAGTACCCCTAAAGCACACTTCAGTACAGTCTGGCCCTCCATCCTCTATTTCATCCAGCCTGGTCCAATCTGGTAACTAGAAGACAAAGACCTTGGCAAAWTTATGGGAAACATACAATAGTGAAGCTAGAATTATGAGTCATAACAAAAAATCCATCAGACTTTGGCAGCCCTGAAATCACATTACTATTCCTTTTGTGGCTAAGATGAATGCAAGACTAAATATTAGGCATCTAATTACAAAAATAAACAAATGATTGCTACAGCTTTCTCTTGAAAACCAAAAATTTATCATTTGAAAGAATGAAAAAGCCAAATACACAATCCTATTTACACTTTTTTGGGTAAACACATGCTAGGTTTCCAGCAAAACATGAYGCATAGAGCTGGGCTGGTTCTGTAATGACCACAACACTGTTCCTTGGGACTTTTGCCTCCATTTTCCATCCTCGGGTAGTCGTGGTGAGTTTAATCTCATGCAGCTTTAGACACTGAATGCCATCATCTGATATTGCCACCTGTGGTTCTTTCTCAAGTTAATGGGGAGGCAAAGGCATGGGTGGACTGTGACACATTAGAGCCAGGCAGACTGGAATTGGAGATGAATTTATCTACTTTGATGGTGCAAGGGGCCAGGCAAGCAGCTCAGCTGCAGGCACTGGTA